ACATGTTTGGCCGCTCGCGGAGCTGGGTGGGCGGGGGCCATGGCAAGTCTTCCCGCAACATCCACTCCTTGGACCACCTCAAGTGAGTATATTGGGGGCGGAGGGGGGAGGCCCGGGGGCTGGAATCTGGGGTGGGAGCGCATAGCCCCGGGCACGGGTCGCTGGGAGGTGTCAGAGCTGAGTGGAGGGTGGAGAGAGGTGCTCAGGAAAAGCTGTATGGTGGTTAAGAGCGAGAGCTCTGGAGTCGGGGCGCCTTGGTTCGAACCCTGACCCCGTCTCTCCTTGCTGTGTGACCTTGGGCAAGTCGCTTCGCTTCTCAGAGCCTCAGTGTCCCCGTCTTTTTAAAGTAAGGGGATGAGATTTCCGTGTTCGGACACCGACGTCGTTCTTGCCGGAGCAGATCTTGCGCATCCAGCTTCCCGGGGTGGTACTTCTTAGGCTGGACAGAGGTCAGAGGTCTGGATCCCGGAGTCGGACAGATCTGGGTTGCAGTCTAAGTATGTGGGGTTAGGCCTTCGTTTCCTTAGTTGTAAAAACGGATATTGTGACAGCACCTGCTTCCCAAGATTGCCTTGAGGATTGGGTAAGAGAATGCACTTAAAGCTGGGAGCACATACAGGTGCTCATTCAAGGGCGGTAATTAAAAGCAGACTATTTTCTAGGGGGAGTCTAAAGAGGGACTATCAGACGTAGAGCTCTGGGGGTGGACAAGTTGCAAACGGGATCCTGGGAAGCAGCAGTGCAGCAGACAGACCTGCTTTCAAATCCTGATTTCACCACTTAATGGCAGTGTGACCTTGGACAAATTACTTCACCTCTTTGAGCCTCTGGTTCCGCATCTGCGAATGAGTATTGTGAACACTGTGCAAGGATTTAGTAATGTCATGCATGGAAAGAGACTGATCCAGTGTGTGTCACACAGTAGGTGGCCAGCAGTGGTAGCTGTGTTTATTAGCCAGGCCAGGCCTTGCCAGACCACACTACCTCAAGGGCTTCCCCCACCCCGATTCCTGTCCATCTTTATCTTGATTTCATTCAGTGCATCTCCACTAGCTGCAGTTATCCTGCTTGTTTTTACTACCTTTTTGTCTGCTACGAAACTGGCACTTCTAGGCGGACGGAGACTGCTTGTTTTGCTCACAATTATATCCCAGAATCTAGTGCTGTGCCTGACACACAGTAGGAGCTCAGTGGATGCTTAATGAATGAATGGAAAAAAAAAAAAGGATGAACTGGGGAGAGGTGCAGAGCATGCAGACAAGAGTCTAGGATTTTTTTGGGGGGGTGGGGAGGGTGATAATGGAAAATAGAGACCTTTGTGGAGGGAATAACTTCAGGGAGGAAAATATTGGAGGAAGGGAGTTGGAGTAGGCAAACTTTGGTGGAAAGACGTAGGCTGGTTTACAGAGGAACCTCCCACGATTACTGATGGGAAGGAAGAAGGATGGCGGGAGGAGGGGGAAACAGTAGGAAGAAGACGGGTCCATGGAAAGGATTGGTGGGGAGGGACATTAGATGGGGCTTCTCATTTGGCCAGGGTCCGGGTGCAGTGATCCTCAGCTGTGTCCTTTCTAGCATGGAGCATGCATTTAATAAATGTTTGTGGCTCTGGGGGGCGGGGGGGAGGAGGGAGGAGCATGAGGGCTCACTATGTGGTGAGGAATGGTGATAAGAGAAAACATGGGGGGGGGGGAGAGAGGCCCTGGACAAGAAGAGGGGTAGGAAAGCAGGAATCTTAAGTGGGAGGGCAGCTGCAGGGAAAGGGAGAGGCTCAAGGATTTTAGGAATGTAGAGAGTGGGTGGATGTGGCTGAGAAGGGCAGAATGGTTGGGCCTCCTGCCAGCACCCAGCTACCTGCAGGCTGTCACCTAACTGCCTGACTCTAGGCCTTCTAAATTGCTGTAATATTTATTAAATGCGTTCTCTGTGTCAGGTACTTGCTAAGGCCTTCCTGTGTGTTATTTCCTTTAATCCATTTTATAGAAATGGAAACTAAGGTTCAAAGAGGTTAAGTCACTTGCCCAAGATAACAACAGCTGAAAAGTGTTAAAGCCAGGGTTTGACTTTAGTGCTTGTACTCATGACACTGTCTTTTTGAATAAAACTTCCTAATAAGTCAGGTTGGAAAGTCTTTCAGCTTGGTTGGGTCTCACTGCCAGTGGGTCATCTTCACTCTCCCGCCAGCCAGGGAACGGTAAAGGTTCTCAGGTTCCTCTGAAGTATCCTGGGAACTGCCCAGGTACATTGTTTAGGTTGCGTGGCCATTGGGTGCTTTTTGGAAACCTGAGCTGCCTGCCCTGGTTCAGGCAGATCAGCTTAATCCATATTACAGCCTGCCTGAGTAACCTGGTGATTTGCTTACTGGTGTGGGGCTTAGAAGATCCTAAAGTGTCTTGGATAAGAATGCCATTAACAGCTAGTACCCACCCAAGTGCCGGTGATGATCTTCATTTGGCTCTGATAGTAAACATCTTGGGTTTGGGATATGGAACAGCTTATAACTGGAGGGAAAAAGAGACCACCATAGAGCCAGTGACTGTGCAGGGTGACAAGCACTAGGATCACTGTAGGCCCAGGGTTCGGTGGAAACCTTGTGAGCTTTCTGGAGGAGGCAACACCAGAGTGCAGTCTTCAAGGACGAGTAGGAGTCACTGTATGGGGGAGCAGGATGTGGGAGGGGGACCCTGGAGTTTGTGGAGCATCAGTGTGGGGCTGGTAGTTGTGGGAAACAAGTCTGGAGGTAGAATGAGGCTTGGGTTTCATCCGACACAGGGAGACCAACCATCCGGGTGTGCCTGGGACTGAAGGGTTTCTCAGGACATGGAACTTGCAGTGCTGAAACTGGGAAAGTCCTGGGCAACTGGTATAAATTGGTCACCCTCCCAGTGACAAGTGACAGTTCCTAATACACTCTTACCCTGACAGAGAACACAGTGTGGAAAGGAGAGATTAAGATACTTAAAATAATTTAGAATTGGTAATTTAGGGGGGGCAGACAAAGCATCTTGGAACCCTCCTAATCCTCCCTTTTTAATGGACTTTTAAAGAACAGTTTGAGATTTACAGAAAAATTGAGAGGACAGTCCAGAGGGCTGGAAACCCTTTTTGAATGACATTCTTCATAACATTCCCAGCTTTCAAAGTGGAAAGGGATTTTACTCTTGGAAAAGTGTGTAGCTGTGGTTTTTGTCTACTCAATCAAGTTCATGATTTATGAGGCAGATTGAAATAGTAAGAGTTTATTTGCTGTACTTCCTGGGTGGTTATTGCCCAGACTAGTGGCGAGACTGTGACACTGACAGACAGATGCCCACCACTAAGAAGAACCTTTCCTGATGGAGTCGTGTGGTTGCTACTGAAGCGTCACCCGTACTGGGAACTATGAATCTACAACTGGTGGAACTTTTTGGTCTTTGTGTTGTGTGGTTGTCTTAATTCTGATCACCTTTTTGTGTGGATCAAGATTCTTGGTTGCAAATGACAGAAATCTGGATGGAATTACCTTGAGCCCCAAATGGAACTGATTGGCTCCTGTCACTGAGCAGTCATACCTGGCTAAGCCATGGCTGAGTCCAGGTGTTGAGATGGAGCTATCCATATCTGCCTCTTTACAGTTCTTGTCTCTGCTTTCTACTGTATTGGTGTCATCCTCAGCAAGCTCTGGGCTTACATTGTGTTAGCTTAGCAGTCCCTGGGAAAAAGAACTTCTTTTCTTAGTATTGCCAGCAGAAGTCCAGAATTGAATAGTGTTAGACCAACTGGGATCTCATGCCCATCCCTGACCTAGTGACTGTGGCAGGGGGTGTGGAATGCTCTAATTTGGAGCTGGGATGTCATCAGCTCCACACAAGATACTGGACAGAGACTGAGAGAAAGGGAAAATAGGGGTTTTACCTGAAATAGACAGTGAATGGATGCCCAGCAGGTAGACACTCATCTACTCTTGGTATATTCCACTTTTGTCTAAGATAGCACTGATACTTTTAGAACTAGAGGTACAATATTGCTAGATTTATTTTTTTAGAATATACTACTTACCATATCACACACGCTGAGTCCAAGGTACCTGCTATGTCAAGTCTAAGTTCTTTCAGGACTTCATAGCACTGTAGACTCTGTTCCTGCCCATCTAGTTTGAGAGCACAGAGGAGGGCCCTATAACCCAGGCCAGGGAGTCAGGAGCATCCTTGGTGGGCAGATACCCACCTTAAAGCAGTGGTTTTCAACCTTCCTAATGCCGTGACCCTTTAATACAGTTCCTCATGTGTGGTGACCCCCAATTTCATTGTTACAAATTGAACATAATTAAAGCATAGTGATTAATCACAAAAACAATATGTAATTATATATGTGTTTTCCGATGGTCTTAGGCGACCCCTGTGAAAGGGTCGTTCGACCCCCAAAGGGGTAGCGACCCACAGGTTGAGAACCGCTGCCTTAAAGGATGAGTGGTTGTTACCAGGTGGGGAGTGGGACAGGGCAGAGTTAAAGGGAGAATGCTCAGGGAGAGGAAACAGCATTTGAGAGGCTGGGAGGAGAGAGTCTGGGGTCCTTCAGTAAGGGGATGTGTATGTATATGTGGTGGAGGGAGGTGGAGGACCCTAAAGCAGAGCAGTGAGGCTGGAGAAGTCATAGAAGCCAGGTCCTGCTGGGCCTAGTAAATCATGTTAAGAAATTTGGACATTAGGCTGAGAACAGTAGGGAGTCATTGAAAGTTTGTAACCAGAGGGCTGCTGTGGTCCCTCCGAAGTTTGGAGAATGGACTGGGGGAGGGCTAAACTGGAGGAGGTGGGCTTCTACTCGGGACTGTTGCTGTCTTCTGGTAAGTTAGGATAGCAGCCTGCCGAATGTAATCCAAGGATATTTCTTTTGCCATTTCACACTGACGGTCCTTTCTCATTCACTGTTACACATACCTCAGATACCTACCTCTCTGCCTTTGTTTCCGCCACTTGAGCTCCCCTCTCCTTGCTCACCCAAATGCTAATCCTATGTAATAATCCTATATAATAAAAGGGTAATATGCAAATCGACCGAACAGCGGAACGATCTGTCACTATGATGTGCACTGACCACCAGGGG